TATAATAGGAAAGGCAGTGGGGGTTGTTAATGTGGTTCAAACCGTATAAAATGCCAAAAAAAGATTTCTTATCGGAATGACTTTGGTGATTTGTGATAAGCGACTGAGAAACGGAAGATCACCCACTTAATCCATTTTCAATTGCAGTAATCGACGAATTGCCTTCATAGTTCTTATGTGCACGAACTTAAAGGGATGATTGTTTGGGAAATACCTGCCAAATGTTTCTTCAATCTTCTATGTTTACGTTTTTAGAGGATAGGCCGCATTCATCCGAGATGCTATCGAAAATCGAGCCGTCTGCGAAAACTTCCACAATACTCACAAAAGGGGTTTTGAAGGTTGATTTTTTCTTTTTTCAATGTTTTTGTGCTTTTTTACAGTTTTTTTGATATGAATTAAGAAAAAACACCATGAAATCCGTACAGTTCGTATGGGGAAATCTGATTTTAAAGAACTCATGTGATTTTCGTAGGAAATAAGACAAGATATTGATCCAAGTAATCCGAGTACATTTATTTGCTCACGTAAAAATCAGCAGTTTTTAATGGGCGAAAATATCCCGTTGAGTTTAAAAAAAAAACAAAAAAACGCCGTATTTCAGGATGCTAGTATTGCTGCTTACTCGAATCCTCATGGCATTTCGGCCGAGAAAGAGCAACGGTTGCGCGAGTTGTACGAAAGGTTGGACATGAATAAAGATGGTACCATTGATATACGGGATCTGACAAATGCACTGAAACAGAAAGCACCGCACATTCCAAGTGGAATTGCATCTGTTAGTCCTTAATTATACTGGCCAGTTTTTCAATCGAAAATTTGAAAATCTCTTCTTCGAACTCTTTTTTTTAAGAAAAAAACATGGAAACAGTTTAAATAATTGTATGCTACCAACAGCGTTAATTATTTTTGCTTTTATTTTCACCAGCGCGCACTTTTACTAGTTTTCATATAACTAATTTTAATATGATTAATTTAATATACAGCTAATTTAAATTTAATTTACACCATTTACAATTAATTGCCACACTTGTCGTACTGACGAGGTCCAGCAGTGGTAATGGTAAGAAATGTATACGATTTAATGGATCGAAACATTTCTTACGATTATAATAATATTATCAAAAATAATTTTACTACTTTTACTAATTTATTAGTATTAATTTCTTATTATTATAATATAATTTTATCAAAATAATTTTACTACTTTTACTAATTTCTTAATATTAATTTTTTACCGTTGTAATAATATTATCAAAAATAATTTTACTATTTTTACTAATTATTTTCTCTTCCCTTCTTCTTCCTTCTACTTCAAAAACCTTTCTATTCCTTAATTGCTTGTTCACCTAATTAGCCTCCTAATAGTGTGGGACTGGTTACGTTTACAGCAAAGCGCTGATGCATCAAGCATATTTTTAAGCCTCTCAGGCCATTCTAAGAGTTTTTTTTTTCTCAAAAGAATTGTTGAGCTGGTAATCAAAAACTTAGGGATTTAAGGATTATCCTTGTCAAGAGCTTCTAAGTCTTGTTGGTACAGAAATATTTGGCATAACAGTGTAATTTTTAAGTGTCAGTGCGCAGAATGCGAAGTTCAGGGGGTAGTTGAAGTTTAAACTCCGTAAAGAGACATTAATTAAAAAGTGTTTCTTTTCTCGTCCTTTTTTTTGCATATTTTTTAATTTTCGTCGATTTTCCCCTCCTTCTTCCTCATCTTTTCACCTTTTACATGCGTTTATCTATAGAATTTTTTTTTGACTATTTTGGCTGGTTTTTTTCACAGACTTATTCAAAATTTCTGTAGATGTATTTTTTTTATAAGTTTTAAATTTATAAAAAAGCACACCCGCTTTCATATCCGAATGTGAAAAATCCGCTAAAATGGCTTTTTTTTTCACTTGTTCAAAAAAGCTGCAAGTGTATCTCTTTTTATAAATTTTAAATTTATAAAAAGACACATCCGCTTTCATATCCGGATGTGGAAAATCCGCTAAAATGGCTTTTTTTCGCCTGTTCAAAAAAATCTGCAAGTATATATTTTCATTAAAAAAAATTTTGAATAAATTAAAAATCGGTTTTTAGGAGCTCTTTGCGCGTATCGATCATTCCAGTGATGATAAGATCACATTCGCTGAATTTGTGCAATATGCTGTAGAGCATGAGAAGAAGCTGGAAATAATCTTTCGCGATTTGGACAGAAATCAAGATGGTACTGTGTTGCATTTTCTTTTTGTTCATCTCTCAGTAGCAGCAGCAGCAGCAGCCCCAGACTCTCCAAACATATTCTCTTATTGAGATTTTGTGCTGCGGGTGCTGTTTTTTCATGGCATCAAAAATACCAGTCTTTTTCATCATCCAGATATACATACAACGGCGGTAATTGAAAATCTCGGGCCCGATAATCTCTGTAGTAACTCATAGTAGGGGTATTTTTTCTTTTTTTTTGAACTCCATAATTTCATCTCGAA